GGCTTATAAAGGCCGAGGGTTTAGGGTCGCAAAAAGGAGCAACTCCGTTTAATTTAGGGCTTTGGGGCTTAGGTTTTAGGGTCGTGAAGAAGTTTTCCTTACGATCTGGTTTCGAATTGGACCAACGACCCGGGACCATGCGCTAGTACAGACTGACACTATCCGAAACAAATCCCAAAGAGTCCTAGCTACTGTCATGGGGATGATAAGGATTCCTGATACAGAAACCCTACATTCCACTATAAATTACTATAAAGGTACGCAAGAATCCCTAAACCCTTAAAGGAACCCTTAGCAGGTACTTTGGATTCTACTATATAGGTACTTTGGACACTTTAGGAATGAGTGTATCATAGACGGCCCTTAATTGGAACAGGGTGTTGGCGTATACTGCTCGAATTTTTGTAGGGGCTCGAATTTTTGTAGGGGCGCTAAAAGCAAGGTCGGACCCTTATGTTGTAAGGTCTGGGATAGTGAAGTCATCGCACTTCCTTGATGAGCCGCATCATGGAAAACTTCTCAATCAACACTTCACCGGGTACCTGTAACTCTTCGGGATATGGTAGATTCTTAAACCAGAATTCCCAAGGACCTTAAAACCCTACACCCGTGAACTCTAGGCCCCCAACCTTAAACCCCTAAACCCCGAAGTCCTTAGTACAATTATAGTATACTATATCCTAAACGCCTATTCTAATAATTAGGACCTGAACCATCCAAATCCCTAAGACCTCAACGCTCGCATCGCCCCGGAAACCCTAAAATCCTTGCCTTAATACTTACCTATACTATCTGGGGGGTGGCTCCCTATTATCATTATGGTAAAATATGCCCCGCCCAAACCTTATTCTAATCATTGAGGCCCCTACATTACCTATCCGAAACCCTATACCCTAACCCTAAACCCTAAACCCTATGAACCTCCAGCTCTGAGCCCTAATTCTTCCACCCTTGCTTCGCCTCAGCGATTCAGGTGCCGACGACTTCGTCGCAGTGTCCCTGGTCGGCCAAGGGGAAGTGCCGGAGGAGGAGTTAGAGAATCTTGAGGTTGTAGGCTTTATGGGGTTTATAGGGCTTTAGGGCGTTTTGGGTTTATAGGGTTTGTGGGGTCTTCAGTGGGTGTTAGGGTTTTTAGGGTTTAATGCGCGTAGGGGTTTAGGGTTTAGAGGATTTCGGGTCTGGGGAAAAGCTGGTGTTCAGAGTAAGCCCTTGACCTTTCACCTGCTGCAGGCTTGAGGCTTGGTGTCCACTGGAACCCTAAACCCCTAAACCCCTAAACCCCTAAACCCCTAAACCCTAAACCCCTAAACCACTAAACCCTAAAAGTTCGATCATGCGTATCAGCGATGCTCTCGGTCTGGGGGTTTTTGTTTTCGGGCCAGCCATTTCATCGTGTCGAGTGTCTCGCATTTTGTCGCCCGGACCTTCCCGGCACTGCTTGTGTTCTGTCCCTTCCAGCATGACATGTAAGAGACCATATCATGAAGTTGTCATAAAGAGTCGCAAGGAACATAGGAGCCCACACACCCAAACAGTGAACCACACGCACCAAAACGGGTCCAGGGTATATTGGAGACCTTACAGTATCTGTCGAAACGGGCCCTTGTGATAACGAAGGAACCAGAGTTTGTTTTCCAGTTAGGGAGACACGGTTGATGACATAAAACCTGCATTAGCCATCATAAGGAATACACCGTCTACCATAATTCATAATTCCCATAGTTTAGGTTCTGTTTGGTACTCGTAATGCAGGGTTCATATCATCAACAGCAGTATGTGCGGACGGGGGAGACGACATGTCCAAGGGGTCGAAACCCTCAATCGCCACTCTCACATCCGAGAACTTTCCGGAAAATGCCGGAAGGGAAAGCTCAAGCCCCACATAGTCGGATTCACTCTGTATAGTGATCCCTACTTGGGGAATCCCCAATTCTAGACAACACCCGTTACCACAGCCTCATAGAACCGTACCGCGGCCCAAAAGAAGTACCAAAAGTCTGCACCCCTAAACCCTAAACCCTAAACCATCCCATACGAAGTCGGGTCCACCACCGACCTGTTGAGTTGGGTTCAGAACATAGACTCCCAAGGGGTCCTAGGTACTTTTATGGGGGGGATGCGGCTGATGATATAAATCCTTATAGCATTGCCTTAAGGACCCCTAAACTATGGGAATTATGGTATCTTTCTTGTTACGGGTAATGCAGGGTATATACCATCAACCGTACTTTCCCAAATCATAATAAGGATTCCTATCGAGAGTAGAAGCCAAAAAGTTGGAACATCAGTATCCTCATGCCCTTAAGGCAAAGCAAAGCGGATCCCAGCACTAATCATCCTAAATCCTAAATCCATGTGCCAACTTTCTGGGATTATCCATACATTCTACGATATAGGTACTTTGGACCTTTTTTTGCGAGTTTCGCAGTGTCGAAAATCCCGAGATCCCCAGCGAAAGGATCCCTCTAGGTACCTTTCTTGCGGACTTATTAATGCATTTGTAGTGCTGTTGTATAGGAACTGTGCTTCATTTTTATCATAAGCTGCAAGGGGTTATTGGAACCAGTATTGGTATGTTGGTTCGAACCGTGCTCAAGATAGACGCCTGAAAAAAATATTGAGAATATCATCCGATATACAGCCTAAGCCTACAAGCCTGAAACCCCCTACATAAACCCAAAGTCCATCCCCAAACCCGAAACCGTAAACCCTAATCCCCAGACCCCTCAGCCCCTAAACCCAAGGCCCTAAACCCCTGAACAAAGGACACATCCCAATCCCCCCCAACCCTATAGCAACCACAAAGAAACCCATGAACACAGCCATTCGAAGCCTATGAAAACCCCAAATTGCACACCCTTAACCCTAAACCGTACTTCCCCGCAACCCTACACCCTAAACTCTAAACCCCCGGAAATGGAGGACAACTTCCAGGCTGCCCTGGCCTTGGAGGACCCGGGACTTACGGGACTTACAACTTGTTGGCCCCATTTGTTTGGTCGATCATAGAAAGTGGTGAACTTGTATGGGCCCGGTAATTACTGAAGAAGAAAGGGGAATCAGAAGAAAGGTATGTTGCTGTTTCGGCCTTTCGAGGTTCTAAGTTTGCGACTGACTGTCACAAACTGGCTACAATCTAAGCTGTAAAAACCCAGATGTTTATCAACGTGTTATTCTTGTTGCTCTTAGGCTGGAGGATTCTGAGTTCAGGATTGACTGCTTCAGGGCTTGGGGAAGCTTGAAGGTTGAGGTTTAGGGTTTAGGGGCTAGTAGTAGTAGTAGTCGTCGTCGTCGTAGTAGTCGTAGTCGTAGTCGTAGTCGTAGTCGTAGTCGTAGTCTTAGTAGTAGTAGTAGTCGTCGTCGTCGTCGTCGTCGTAGTAGTAGTAGTAGTAGTTGGAGGAGGAGGAGGCGGAGGAGTAGTGGTAGTAGTAGCAGTCCCTTCCAGTTCACCACAAACAACATATCAGCTGCGACCTCTTCTCACACGATGTATAGCCTCCCCCTCCCAGCAGCCGGATACATCGGATACATAAGGCGCTTAGTCCCTAGGCTATTACCGGAGAGTTCACCCTCAGACTGTCTTCCAGTCTTCTACGCCCCTAGGCCCTAAACCCTAAACCGTGTGTCCAAACCATGACAATGCACATATGCCTCTACCACTCAAGTTCCCACGCATTGGAGATCTCTATGCCGCAGGAGGACCAGCGCCACCCTCCACTCGAAACATTCTATACTGGCGGCATTGACGTTCTCACAGCTGCACGGAGCCCAGAGCAAGTGTGAATCCATCAGCCGGTCCATCCTAAACGCAAAACTAAGCCCTAACTCAATCCCTAAACCCTAAACCCTAAACCCCAAAGGAAGAAGGTCCGGTTAACAAAAAAAAACCTAAGCCCCTGAACCATCCTCGACCCTTCCCGCAAACCCAAGATCGTGAACTCTCCAGCACCTGTTCTATTCCCCAAGGCTCCATGTACCCATATAGTAATATAGTATATACTTAGGCCTTAAAGGGGTTCCTACATAGGCACTGTAGGGACTAAGTATATACTATATGGGTACATGGAGCCTTTGGGCTTACTCTTCTTGTAAACCCTAACCCCTAAACCCCTAGACCGTAAAGCCCTAAATCCTAAACCCGAAACCCCTAAACCCTAAACCCTAAACTTTCCGTCAAAACCCGACGCCCCGGCCCTCTGAGCCTCGGTCTTTCTCGGTCGGGACTTGGGTTCAGGCTCTTAGGGTTTGGGGCTTCGGGGCTTAGGAGTTTAGGGGTTTAGGGTTTAGGGGTTTAGGGGTTTAGAGTTTAGGGTTTAGGGGTTTCGGGTTTAGGATTAGGGCTTTACGGTCTAGGCTCCAGGGTTTAGAGTTTAGGGTTTAGGGGTTTTAGGGTTTAGGGTTTAGGGCTCTCTGTCACTTGCTTAGTTGTTTTCTTGTTGGGGTTAGGGCTTGCCTTCTCTAGGGACACGCCCGAAAGAAAAAGCTTCTGCTTAGCTTTCAAGATGTATTCCTTGATAGTCCCCGTATAATCATATGTAGGGCAGTAGACAAGGCCTTATTATCACATGACGTGCGCCAACAAACTTCGGATACCCAGTGGAACCCTAAACCCTTCACCCTAAACCCTAAACCCTAAACCCTAAATAGTCCCTATAAACCCTCACCGCGAAGCCAGGAACCCCAACCAGCGAACAGCCACGAAGCAGCGATTCCTCTCTGCCGCAATGACATTCCCCAAGGCCTACTATGATATAGTAGAATGCACAATGATCTGCTACAAGCTACTCACCATACATAACACGTATTACAATGTATTATATGTTTTCTTAGCACACACACACACACATATATATATATGTATATATGCATACATACATATATATATAGAGAGAGAGAGAGATATCTACACACTTACAGATATTTTGAAGATGTATCTACACATGCACCCGTCAAGATCCGAGCCAAAACAGCCAAGAGGGAGAATCAGCCGTGAAGCCCAGGGGCACGGCTTCTGGGACACCAGCATGGGTGGCATGCCGAAGCTCTTAGTCAAGAATGCTGCTCAGTTCGTCTTCGTGAAGAAGGCCGGGTGTTGGGTTTTGGGTGGAGGGATTAGGGTTCAGGGTTTTGGGTTTAGGGTTGAAGGTTTTGGGTTTAGGCTTGGCGAATGAGGGTTCTTACGCGATTATCATTCTCATTCTTAGGCTTGGCGAATGAGGGTTCTTACGCGATTATCATTCTCATTCTGGAAGGAAGAACGCATCCAGCAGTTGTTCCCGAACTCTGTGTGAGGAGCTGCGTGTTCCCTAGGACCCGTTCTTCAATCTTCGTCTTGATCCCTAAACCCTAAACCCTAAACCCTAAACCCTAAACCCTAAACCCTAAACCCTAAACCCAAACCCAAGAGGCGATTAAAGCGAGTCCTCTGCTCATGGGTCTCAGTCAGGGGCTCTGTACTTAAGCCCAAAGAGCCCTAAAGCCGTAAACTCTAAACCCTACCCATAGGCTCCATAGTAATTCCTTTTTGTGGTTTATATTTAGGATCCTATAAGGTAATCCCCAAAAAAGGAACTACTTAGGGACCTCTAGGTAGAGCCAGCGCCGAGGCTTTTGAGGCGTTTAGCACCTCTGCGTTGCAGCCCCCTGATCCTGCTAAGGAGGGCTTTTCAATGTTAGGGTTTAGGATTTAGGGTTTAGGCTTTAGGGTTTAGGGTTTAGGATTTAGGATTTAGGGTTTAGGATTTAGGGTTTAGGCTTTAGGGTTTTCAATGTTACGAGTTTTTTCAGCTAGGAGACCCACTTATCCAACGCGTTATTCCTTTTGTCGGGCGTCGAAATCTATGTGAAGTACCTGAGCTCAACCCCTAAACTCGTTTTCGGGGTCGTGTCCGAAGCAATCCGGAATCTGCTCTTAAACCCCGTTCTAATCATTGAGGCCCTTATCTTAAGCCCCCAAAAGCCCCAAACCTTAAAAAACACCAAAAACCTTCATAAGGAGCTCCACCCGAACCCGAGCCCGAGCCATACGCCCTAATTACACCCTAAACCCTAAACCCAAACCCTAAACCCAAAACGTCAACCCTAAACCCCAAACTCTAAAACCAAACCCTAAGTTCCTCAAGAGCAGAAAAGCCGCGGCTCGGTTTCGCCGGGGACGCAGTAGCAGATAACCCCAGAAGCCTTAGAAACCGTACAAGCCCGTATGATTATAGGGGGGGGGATTGAGGGTCTAGGGTTTGGGGTCTAGGGTCTAGGGTTTAGCTTTCAGGGTCTAGGGTTTCGGGTTTAGGGTCTAGGGTTTAGGTTCCGGGTCCCTATAAGCCTCCATAAACTCCATAAAGCCTCGATCCCGAACACGCTAAACCCTAAACCCTATAAACCCTACACCCCAGGGAACGCAATGGCAGATCAAGGGCCTGACGATCTCCGAGGATGACCGCGTCGCACGCTCAGAGATTTCAGGGTTTAGGGTAATAATGAGAGTGAGGTTCCACTAAGGGGTCTTACATAGGATACAAGGGATATTATAAGGCTATAAGGGTTCAATATAGGCGCCCGAATAATTAGAAGAGTTTTTTGGGGGATATGTCGTAGCATATTTGTAGCAAATAGCCTTAAGGAGTAATGTTGGGCTTATTCAAACTTCTATGTGAGGACTTTCGGGTTTAGGGGCCCTAGGAGTTTAGGGTTCGGGCTTGCTGTGTGTATAGGCATCTATAGGGTTTAGGCTTTTGGGTTCATGTTTTGAACGGTTTAGGGATTTAGGGGACAGATGGATTCGAATAAACACTATAGGCTCTGCTTGAGCAGCAATGGGTGCGGGGGTTTTGACCTACAAGTAAATCCCATTCGTGGCAGCTTAGATTAAGTTCCTTAAAACGAACTGAAAATCTGCGGTCTGCAGGGCGACGACTTCTTCTCTTACGACGAGTCGGCCTTCATGAACGTCGTCTTCGAGAAGCCGCCAAAGAAGGGCGTGAGCATCTTTGTGTGAGTCGGGCACACTCAGTGTCGTTTAGACAGCTTCCGGGCATACAGCCCCATTATCCCGCACAGGATGCTTTGCACCCGAGGACACTGAAACCCGCTTGACAGTTTAAGGTTTATAGGGATTTCCTTTAACCAGTATCCGCAAGGCCTAGACGCGGGAACTCTGGACCCAGCCTCAACCACTGAGCCTTGTCGTTGTGAAGGTCGAGAAAACGATCCCAATGCGCAACGAACAACAGTTCTGGATATAATGCAGCACCGATACCGTAATGCCAGCGAAAGATTCAAGCCCTAACGGTAGTAAAGACATGCAAGGACACGAACGGTTAGGTGGTGGATAATTAAAGGTGCCTGATGCACCAGCAGATAGCTGGTGTCCCAAATGCGATGGGGTCATGGACAGTTTTTGCCTTCATGTCGGCACATATGCCGCCGGAGGTGAGTGCACGCAGAGGCACAATGCTTTATGTGACCTCTTGGCCTCCTGAGCGGATCGTGCCGGCCTCCAGGCCGAAGTCGAGAAGACTGGCCTTCTGCTCTCACAGCGGCCCGATGAAGCACGTCTTGCCCAGCGCCGACCGGCTGACATTCTCTTGCCGTCCTTGTCCGGCACTCCTGCTGCACTTGACTTGGCTGCTACGGCCCCGCCGCAGCAGTCCCTTGCCCCGGCAGGACAGCACGCCCTCGCTGCCGCTTCCCAGTATGCCGTAGTGAAGGGCACTTGTCTCCACACTGCCCAAGTCTGTGCCGAGCAGGGCGTTCGATTTGCGACCTTTGTCGTTGAGTCCACAGGAGCCTGGGAGCCTAGCGCTTCCAAGACCCTCCAGCTTCTCTCGCCTGCCGTTGCTGCTCGTACTCGCTGCGATGCCGGATTGCCGCATGCAGACCTTCTTCAGGAACTGTCGGTCTTGCGTGGCAGCCACCATGCCTGCGCGGCACTCCGCCGCTGGGCAGCTCTGCTCTAACTGGCTGGGCCCTAGGCCCCCTGCACTCTCGGCTCTCTTTTCTTTTTTGCTCCTCTCAGCGTCCGGTTGATCCTGTCCGGATTTCGTGATCCCGGTGTCTTATTCTGCTCTCCTGGCGCCTCAATTCCACGCTTCTGCTGCCGTTGGATTCGGCCTTGTGTGGTGCAAGCAAAGTCGCAACGCTTCGTTCTCCTGCTTGAGCACCACCCGTCTCCCGCGGGACCCCTGCACCGGAAGGACATCAAGGCAGCAAAGAAGTGGCGATGGAAGACACCGAGTTCTGGTGATCGGGATAAACCCTGTCCCATTGAAAGCCGAAACTCTGGCTCCTACCAGTCCGGCGCGCAAGGCTTTGTAAAAAAAACGAAGGCTCGCCAGGCCCTCTTAGTCCCATGTCGGGGTTTTAGGGTTTGGGGCTTTAGGGGTTTAGGGCCTAATGATTAAGAGGGCTTAGGGTTTAGGGCTTTGGGGCTTTAGGGTTTAATGTTTAAGAGGGTTTAGGGTTTGGGGCTTTATAGGACTTTACTGTTTAATGTTTAAGAGGGTTTAGGGTTTACGCATATGGAATCAAATCGTGTAGCATTCCCAAGAGGCCCTTCCATCGCGACCAGCATCGAGGTCCCTTCATAAGCCATTTTGTACTTGCATAGTGCATAGTGTATACAATATACCCCCAAACCGTATAACAATCATGCATGAAGCCCGCACATCAACCAGTGATTCACTGACCAGAAAGACCCCTCCTCCATACCTCCTGTTCAAAGAGATGCAACAAGTAGCGGGGTTAAGGTGTAGGGGGTTCAGGGTTAGGGTTTAGGGTTCCAGTGTCCCATCCCTTGATTTCCCCCCCCCCCCCCCCCACCGGCTGGACGATCGATTTGCCCCAGTTGGGGGTGATGTTAACGACGTGCCGAAGGCACATTTGGCAAGTGAGCGGGGAGGTGGTTCAACAGATTAACACGCTGAACTTACCAGCTCTAATACCTTAATCATCAACCCTGAGCCTATGGTACTAGTCGTCGCCGTCCTCGTGGTGGTACTAGTCGTCCTGGTGGTGGCGGTGGTGGTGGTTGTTGGTGGTGCATGTTTGGGGCGGCGGCAGCAGCGGCGGCGGCGGCGGTCTTGGTGGTGGCGGCGGCAGTGGTGATGGTGTTGGTTTCGGTGTTGGTTGTTGTTGTAGCTGGTGGAGCAGGACGAGGACAAGAAGCACGAGCAGTACTAGTCGGCAGCAGCAGTAGTGGCGGCACGAAGGACAATGTTCGTGGGAGGACGTATGAAAGTCACAGTAGACCTCACCCGCTTTGGCGTTAAGACATGGATCATGCTCCTCGCTTTGCTTGGTTGCTCTAGGGAGCAGCCTCTCTTTTTGTTGTAGTGTTCTAGGAGCTTGCCTTAGGGCAGTTCTGTTTCGGTTTGTGCTGGCATGGGCAGCCTTCAGTCGTGCTGGGAAGGCGACCGAGGCCTTCGAAGCTAAAAACCAGACCCCTGAAACCCTAAACCCGCTAAACCCTAAAACCTTTAACGCCATACCCTCTAAACCTTACGCCCTGCAAACCTTTAAACTCAAGCCCTAGACGCTATGCCCTATAGCCTATAGACCCTAAAAACTAAACTCCTAAACCCTAAACCCTGAACCCTAAACTCCTTAAGCCTGAACTCCTATAAACCCTAAACCCTGAAACCTAAACTCCTTAAACCTAAACTCCTAAACCCTAAACCCTGAACCCTAAACTCCTTAAACCTAAACGCCTAAACCCTAAACCCTGAACCCTAAACTCCTTAAACCCTTTAAACACCATGAATTGAAACCAGAAGTACAAAACTGGCCCAAAGGCGGGACATCAGAGCTTTCAAAGACTTGGAACCCTATCCACTTAATGTCTCGATAGGGTTTGTAGGGCTCATAGGGCTTCGGGTTTAGGGTTTGGGTTTTTGGAGTTTAGATATTTTAGGGGGTTTTGGGGTCCCGTGGGTTGGCTTCTAAGGTGTAGGGTGCATTGAAGGAGGCTCTGGCACAGTAAGTGCATATTCAGAGTTAGCCGCGAATCCTAAACCCGTAACCCCTTGAGCCCTAAGCCCTAAAGAGAAATTCGAGACCCCAACAGATGTCCAGGCTCGCACGTAGCGAGTTCCGCACTCAAAATCGTAACGACTTGATGGCTCCACTGCCATGACTGCAAAGTTCTACCGAACTGCGTGCGATGGCTCACTCGGAAAAGGTCATCCAACAGGCAATCCGAAACCCTTGACCCGGATCTCTATAAACCCCACAGAACCGGAAACCCTAAACCAGAAGCACTAAACCCTAAACCCGAAGCTCTAAACCCAAAGACGCGAAGATCAAGAGTGAGAGCGAGAGTGGGAATCTTCCAACTTCAACCGTGCGTCGTCCGGACTAGTATGGGGAGTTCTGAATGCTTGGTACTTCAATCCCTATATGGGCAGGTCTCTAAAGTAGGATATTTTTTAGGTCCCCAAAGTAGCACGGCACCCGTATCTAAAGGACTCCCTAAACGGCACCCTCCTTTGGGGAACTATACCCACAGAACTGCAGCCTGATATACCCTTAAGACTCGATTCTAGTCATTACCTATGGGCTCCAAAGTGGTTCCTTTTTGTGGTTTGGATTTGGGATCCTATAAGGGAATCCCAAAAAGGAACTACTAAGGAGCCTATGGGTAAGGCCCCTTATATTACATGTTTTTTTTCCAATTTCCCGGTTCTAGCCCAAGGACCTAGGTATCAGGGCTTTGGGTGCTTTTTTATAAGGGTTCTCATACGATTTTTGTAAGGCTTTATAGGGCGATGCATAAGGGTCCAAAAGACTGAAAAGCTGTGCAGTTGGGTTTAGGTTTAGAATAGTTAGGGTTTAGGCTTTACGGTTTAGAATTTGGGAGAGAGCAACTGAAGATGTGGAACTTGCCTACTCCCCTCTGGGGTAACAGTAGCGCCTCCTGTAATTATGAAGGCCCGCGGGTTTAGGGCTTAGGGCTTAAGATTTTCGGGCCTGATCGCAAGTGCTTGCATGGTTGGGCCCTAAGCCCTAAAACGTGTCGAGCTTTGGAGAGATGTCGGAATCATTCGCAAGTGTGCTTCTCAGGATTCTGCAGGTTCCTCATTCTGCTTATAACGCTGGAAAAGCCCTATTTTCCTCCTATTGGCGCCCCAATGTGATACCTGCCGTTTGCCCTGCCATGCGCCGCTTCCAGCTTCTACACTTGAAGATGCCCCGGAACCCCTAGTTAGGCCTGGTAAAAGGGGTCGCAAGAATTCCTTAACATCTACTGCTTTTTTCCCAGAGAATCCTCATTATGTACCGCGACACTCTATTCTAGTGCTAGGCCCCAGCCCTGAAATTTCAATCAGGAAGCCCAAACCCTCATCCAGCTGATCCAAGAAGTTGATCAAGGTGTTAACCCGTTGCACCAAAGCTGGTTGCCGATGGCTGGGGCTGCGATTAGCCTCCTTGTCGTGGTTTGGCTTGCAAGGGCAGCTGGCAAACGCATCCGAGACAGGCACTTTGCCTCCTTTCGGGCTTTTGTTCATTTGGGGAAATTCGATGAAATTAGGGAAGCTATAGGGTTCGGGACTCAGGGTTTTACGCACTCAAGGATTTAGGGACTCAGGGTTTAGAGGTTACAAGGCTTAAGGGCTTGTTTAGAGTTTGCTTGTGCTGGCTTCCAAGGGGTCTCTTGTCCCCACGCAAGGCCTGGAATGCCTACGGGTCTCCGGTTTTTCACTCGAAACCTCCACCGCTAAACCGGAAACCCCGGACCTATGGGCCTTGCACGGTGGATTTCTGCTGGCTAAACCCTAAACCCCAAGCCCCGAAACCTAAACCCT